CGTAACAGTGGAAATCAGGCCGGAGGGCACAGAGGGATTATAACATGGAGAGGGGTGATATTGGTCACGTACATACACATTAACTCCTATAGTGTGTGTGTGTGTGTGTGTGTGTGTGTGTAATAGGAGATAGGAGGATTCTGGGGTCTTTATGCGATAATCCTGGTCTCCATCTCTCCAAAAGAGGGGATACATAGAATTAAAGGGGGCGAGAGGAGGAGAAAGAGAAAGCCGATCAAGGGATCGCAGGGCTCTGACCTTTGTGTGTGTGTGTGTGTGTGTGTGTGTGTGTGTGTGTGTGTGTGTGTGCGCGTGCGTGCGTGCGTGCGTGCGTGCGTGCGTGCGTGCGCGCGCGCACGACCAGGAGTTGCCCCGACCCCTCTACCCCCAAATCACCCAAATCCAGCCCCCCCCCTTACTGTCACCACCACTCCCACTCGGGCGTTACCATGACAACGGGGTTAGAGGCTAGCCCAGGAGCAGAAACAGAAAGAAGATGCATTCTGACATGAGCTGAGATCTAAGTGCTGCAGTCTGTTTAGAAGGCATGCCTCTCCTTTGTGGGTGCGTCTTCTGTTGGAATGTGTTCCTCTCTTTTCCCCCCCCCCTTTGCATCCATGCTGGTAAATGAGACTTTTATTTTCTCCCCTGCAGGTTTTTATACTTGTCAGCAATTATCTTCCATTTCATTTCTCATTCGTGCCCTCACTCCTGGAGTTGTTTGTTTTTAGTCACATCCCTATAAATTGCTCACGGTACTCGTCTTTGTGCTCCTTCCACAAGAATTAGCAAACAAACTAGTTCAACCACAAACGGCAACATGCTGATTTGTGCCAGAGTGAACACTCTACCTCCCACTGTGTCGTGCATTGTAAATACCTGTGGCTGTGTATTTGTGACTCCACAGTGAACCAAACCACAGTAATGAGATGGTTTTAGTTGAATCTTGCTGTGATGACTATTCAGATTGTTTGTTGAATCAAATATAATGCTCACTTTATTTGAGAACTGCAAACCCTGCATACTGGCACCGAAAACAGAGAATACAGCAAGAATGCAAAATGGACAAAGAGATAAACATATAAAATAACCAATTTTTTGTGGAACAGACAACCGAACAAAACCACGAGCCGCAGTACACACACACACACACACACACAAACGTGCTAAAAAAAAAAGGCGTGTGCGTGCATAATATATGTATAAATATGTGCATACATTTAGAATTTCTCCCCATTATCATCCCTTTCATTTATTTTCCTTTTAAGTCCATGTTTTTTTTCTCACTGATCTTGAGTGATAGCAGTGTCAATTTTCACTCGGGGAGGGTGTGTTGAAGTCATCCAAGGAAACCGTCTAATTGGCTCACTGTGAGGAAAAGAGGCTCAAGTGCATGTTGGTGTAAATTAGGCGATGTATCACACTGTGCATTTATCTATAACTCCATATTCACACACGCCCCTAACCCCTATAGCCTATTCCCTGACTCACCCCCATCCATTCAATGTATACAGTACACCCGCTGTTAAAATGAAAGTCTCGAAGCCAGTCTTTATATTAACAGTGCTCTTATTCTTGCTCACCAAAAATAGAGCTCCATCCTTTGATAGTGCCCCCCATGTGGAACACACACGTATGCAACTACGCCTACATGGATGAATGGACACCCATACACATCCTGCATGCACACGCACACGCACACACACACACCAATCACTTTTCCTCTCTTCGCCCCCCCAGGGGGAACAAAAGTCCTGCATCAGCTCCTAAACTGCCTAAAATCTCATCTGCTAATGGGCTACCTGTCTTCCTGCGTACAGTATCTGCCTCTCTGTCTACATTAATGAGTTTTGTGTCTGTCTGTCATTCTGCCTTCCTGAATGTCTGATGTCTTGTCTTTATGCTTTCTGGTTGTTTTGTCTGTCTGTCTCTGACATGTCTGCTTCTGTGCCTCTTGGTTCATAAATGTGTTGATCTGACATGCTGTGCTACCCTGTATCTATGCTGTCAGCATCCTCTGTCATGCTTATACTCGATATATACACAAACCTAGTAATCAAACACAATCATGTGCTTGTTTGCTTGATGTCTATGAAAAGTAGTAGCAGATGCAGTTACAGTAGTAATACCAGAAGTGCTGTATTACTACTAACAACATAAACTATAGAAATGACTGACTATACTGTACGTTGTAGTTAGCGGTAGTATAGTAGCTAATAGTAGGAGTATTTGTACCAAAATTGACATAGTATTAAGAGTGGTTCTAGTGGTAAAAGTAGCAGTTGAAGTCGTACAAGTATTTGTTATTAGAAGTAAAAGAAGCAGGCTATACATTGTAGCGGTAGGGTGAGAAGAATTGCTGATGGTAGTACTTGAACTTGTAATTGTGGCAGTATTGAATCCTATGAGTATTGGTAGTAATCATCATTCTGCAGTATCCGAATAACCATTAATATTAGTAGCAGTAGTAGTATAGTACACAGTCAGTAGAGTTACTGCTACTACATGATGAAAGATGGAAGACTCTTCTTGACACACCTACAAGCAAACGAACACAATATGTTGATATGGCAACCAAGGACTAAGTGTAGTGGGGCTATAAGAGTTGCATTGAACCCGGTCATTGTAATTAGAATAGTAGTATCATACCGGTCTTTGTAGATGTCTCACATTGGACGTATTCCCTTTGTGTCGTCCCCTTTTCTCACCAGTCAGCACATTTCTCCTGAATATAATTGTATTCTTTATTCTCACCTTGTCTGTGCTCTCACATCTATACGTCATATCTGTCGCCCCCCCCCCCTCTCTCTTTTTAAGAGGAGTGTGTGTCTGCTATTGCAGCACAAAATAATACATATTGATATTACCATGGGATAGATTTAGATTAATGGCTACCAGTGTGTGTGTGTGTGTATGTGTTTGTGCGTGTGTGTTGGAAGCGTACTTTCTATTTCCCTCGTATAGAATACAATAAAGTTGATGTTTTCTTTGTGTCCTTGTCAAATCACTTTTTCTTCACCGCTTCTGTATTGTCAATTCATTTTTCTCCCCTCTTTCAATGTGTCCCCCCTGATGTCAGCCTATTCCATGAACCGAATCATAAATAGAGCCCCTCTGACATTTCAATTTTCCCCATAACCCTTCACATATATATATGCATGCGCGCGCGCGGGCACACACACACACACACACACACACACACACACACCAAGTTCATTGTTGAGCATCAGTTCAGTGGCAGGCCTCGCCTGGGTTTCCAGGGAGACAAGGAAAAGCAATAACGGCACACTTGACCCCTCTGCACCTTTATTGGCCTCTTCACGCATACACACACGTACACTCACACACCTCAAATCTAGCGGTATTCCTCCATCGTCCCCTGAGGATTGGAGAAGAAAGGATGGAGAGGAGCAGGGAGAGGAGGAAGTTAATAATTTCATCCTGCAGTGACCTGGAGACGATAGGATCGATTGTTTGGCTCTTTTAGTCTCCTCATGACACACACACTCATGCGGGAACACACTCCACACACAAATCGTCAAGAGTGTCCAATCGTCGCTCACACCCTCTTACGATGTCTTTGCCTCTGTGTCACACACATTCGGCAAAAGTCTTAACAACTTCCTGAAACTTTATGATTTTGAGCGGAGAGAGGAAGATGAACGGACTGCAGGAGGGAAAAGAGTGTGCAGGAGGAAAACATTGAGCCTAAGAGAGAGCGAGAGGGAGGGAGAGATTGAAGGAAGATATTAGGAGGAACGACAGGGTAGCCGTAGCGACAAGGCTGTGTACTGTTTATTTTGGTCCCAGTCTCATATCTCCTCATATAGTCAGAGTTGAAATGATTTCCTTTCGCTGTTTATTCCTGTGTGGATTTCTATCCGTTTGGTTTTGAGGTTGTTTGTGTGAGTTTTTTGTTTGCGTGTCCCCTGTTTGCCTCATCTAAGATCATCTCTCTGAACCCAATCCTTCCACAATCATCGGTTGATATGGTGTCATGTTACATCAAGGTCCCAGTGTGGGATTTCATGTTTCTTTCCATACCCACTCAAATAGTTCCTGAGTAGATCATATGCAATCTTCAAATGTTTTATTGTAATGCATTCATTCATTTATTTATACATCTATTGTGCACAGTTTGTTTGTGAATTCAAACAATGCTGGTGTCAATATCACGTAAGAAGCTCAAATGCGTTACATTATCGCATACACGCGTAGCTTGAAGATTAGTTGTATTTAAATAATCATGAAAGTATTCAGTGGAATTTATTTTCATGTTTAACAACCCAGATTTCACCCCTGTGACGTTTTTTTCGTGCAAACAGAAAGATGAAGCTTTGAAATCTGAAATCTGATCCGTTTGTTTGTGTGTAATGATGCCAAATACACAGACACACACAGCAATGTGTATCTGGCATTATTATAAGCCATCCTGAGTGACCACACTCTAAAGCTAAAGCTAGGTCTCCACTGTACATGAGAACAATAAGAGTGTACTCATGACAATTTCTGCCTCTTAGTAATCAGGTCAGGGTCGATTGGATTGTCTCGTGTGTGTGTGTGTGTGTGTGTGTGTGTGTGTGAGAGAGAGAGAGAGAGAGAGGGGGAGGGAGAGAGAGTGCTTGTGTGGAAGGCAGTACACAGTGTTGCTTCCCTGCTGTGTTGCCTTCTGTAACACAGGTGTTTTTCTCTGAATGTCCGTGTGTATTTGTGTCAACGACGCTCTGCTGTATCTAAAAACCGTACACCCGTATTGCAATATTGTAGCTGATCTATATTTATTTTTGTATTGTAAATTCCAAATGATGTAGGTATGAATATTTATTTTCTACAAGTCCCTCTTGAAAAATGAGATCCTAATCTCCTATGGGATGTACCTGAATAAATAAGTTGTCTATAGACTGATCGGTGGTCATTTACACATGAATCCACTGAAGGGTCCCTTGTGTAAACTGACTCCCACTGATGTCGCGTTGTCCTCTTGTGTTTGTTCCACGCAGTTCTCCAAGGAGAAGTACCTGCTGGAATCTCCTCCTGAGAAACTTCGTAAGGAGCTGGAGGAGGAGCTGAAACTGAGTGCTGCTGACATCAGGAGCCATGGCTGGTACCATGGACACATACCCAGAGAGGTAACCACACGCTGAAGTACACTGTGGAAACTGTACGCATGCACAGCAGAGAACATGGAATTAGTCTTTACACTGGGAGTCCTGAATGGATGTTTGAGAACAGATGGGAACACAGATATTACATCCAAGGCAATAAACCGTTGAGGCAATGCCCTTCCTGTGCACATTATGGCCCAGCACATGAGTAGCCTACACACATGCAGGCAGCCCCATATATCTATATATATATCTATATATATCTATCTATATATATATATATATATATCTATATCTATATATCTATATATATCGATATCTATATATATCTATATCTATATAGATCTATATCGATATATATCGATATATAGCTTTTTGAAGCTATACAATTAATTGGAAAAGTGATCTACAGATAAAAAATAACCGTTAGTTGCAATGTGTTTCCACTATATGGCTAAACTTTCATACTAAATAACCAAATAACAATAAACTTAATTAGTCACTAGTCTGTTAAACTTCATGTCACACTCTCTTAGTCCCTGTGGCAGTGAAGTAGATCATGAATGAAGATGTATTTGTTTTTATTTCCCACATTTCATGATGTATTTCAAAAAGACATGAGATAAAAGTACAAACACAATAGTATTTATGTGTGGGTTGATGTGCCTGTCAACCAATATTATTAGTTGAGTGATTACTTGGCCAAAGTCTCTGGCATTGAAAGCACAGTTTAAATGCTTTACACCCAGAATGACACCGATTACTGAATCCCATCATCTGTCACAGCTCAGTAAAAATTGCTTTAGCGTTCAGAAGGAGGGGAAACTCCTGCCAAACAGACAGCTGTGTGTGTCGCCGATGTACGCTGTTGAGTGTCACAGCTGGTGACTGAGACACAGATACACACAACAGACCTGCACCCACCCACACACAGAAATGCACACGCACACACATGGCAAGCACATGTGGAGGGTACTCGTTCATAGACGCAGCCTCTCTCTCGATCAACCTCTGCTCTGGGTCTCACTCTCACACACACACACACACACATAAACACAGACCCAGATTCAAATCAGCCATCTGTGAGTCTTTCCTCTTTTAATTTACATAAAATATTCATTTATTCATGGTTTGCTCCAGTGGAAACTTGGGGAAACCCCTGAGCCCTCTGGGTACCAAAACAATACTTGGAGATTAGACTTCACACACGTGGCTGGTGCTGTACATCCAGTCCATCCTTCCTGTTCCTTTTCTTCCTTCTCGTTCTTCTTCCTTTTAAAGTGAAGACTTCTTGTAGTGCACAAGGCATTAAGTGTATGCACCAATGTGGCTTTCCTTTTTATATATTTTTTATATATTTTGTTTCAAACCGACAGTGTAAAACATGATGTATTGTTGAATGCAGTGAGTTATCAGATTTAAAAAAGCGACTAAAACTCTCCACAACAGAATTATGTTTAGTTATGGTAGAGATAAAAGGATCCTGTGCTTGGTTGGAGCTTTTGATCTTTGTATATACTGCCTCCTGCTGGTCTCTCAAGCACTGTTTACCTTGTGCTGCGCTGCATTGCATATTTCATACATCCTTGTTTCCTGTGTAGAGTAATATGAACGTGTCACACCTTCAGCCTTCCTCATTCGTCTCTATGCACGTAATTTGAAAGGGAACACCACTCAGTTTGAAATATGTTTCTCTTTTCCTACATGACTACGACAACGTCAATATTTGCGATCTCCTCTCACTGACGCCAGAGACACATTGCAGTGTTTGGTATCAGCAAGATATACAGCCTGAAGCTGCTACATTTGACATGAATGGGAGCTTGCTTTTTCAGGGGTTGCATGTTTTGTCAATACATTGAAAATAACTTTCATTTACATTTCTACAATATTGCTATCCTCAGAAAATCACTCCAGCCATTGTCGCTGGTATTTCATCCATCATTGCCGATTCAAACTGTGCATAGCAAAGACATTTTTGGCAGGAAGAGAGATAGTTGTGTTTGTTCAGAGGAACAGCAGTCCTAAGGCATTGTTATAAATAATCATGATTTTATAAATTCAATTATTCAACAATCGTGCCAGAAACAAAATATTCACACACATGCTGTGGCTCAGTGAGCCAAGTTAGCTTCCAGCTTTTTAAGATTGGAGCCGGTGTTGTTTTTACTAACTTTCAATCATATACATGTTTTTTTTTTCTCTGTCTAGGTGTCAGAGACTCTGGTTGTACGTAATGGGGATTTCCTCGTGCGTGACTCTCTGACCAGCGTGGGTGACTACGTACTGACCTGTCGATGGGACAATGAGGTGCTGCACTTCAAGATCAGCAAAGTCCTGGTCAAATCCAATGAGACCAAGGTGTGTATTAAATATTTTATTGGCTGTCTGTTTCAGCACTCATCATTTCTTAACAACTAGATGCCTTTTACCTCATGTTCTGTAGGTAGAAAAGACAATGGAGATGAATCTAGTGTTGGTGTCTGTTTATTTAATGCCAAAATATCAAATAATCAAACCGTCATCAACATTGCATGTTTTTTCTTTTAACTTTAAGTACGTACTGCAGCTGCCCTGACAAAGTACCTTCCGTTGAATGCAGAATGCATACAATTGAGACATACTGCTTCGTCATAACATTGTGCCTTGAACATTGAATGCTCTGTCATCGGTCACTGAGGGTTCAGTCAATGAGCTGTCGTCAGTCTGTGGTCTCTCGGCGGCTCTGTCGATCTTCATCTGTGCAGAGGATTGTGGGTCAGAATAGCCACAAAAGCATGCTGGCTTGCATACTGCAAAATGCGACCAGATTCAGTAGGACATCTTGGTATTGTTGACATAGTGTGCATTGGGACATACTAAACCTTTTACTGGCATCTTAAATAGTATGGCCGTAGAAGTATTTGAACGCACAGTCCCCTCTGGTTGGAAGCAGCAACTAATAACATTAACGGTGGCTCTGTTCCATTAAGGTGTTTCAGCCTGTGCTTTGCTGGTGAGTCAGCATGCACAGTCATTAATAATGCTATTAGTCACAGTCACACCTGTGTTTGACCTATCAAAATGTTTACTGAGGTATTCAGTCTTGACTAGTCTTACTGGCCTTTATAGATATGACAGTGTTGCTGCATGAACTCCTCCGCGTGTTCCACCCATCATACCGAAATGTAATGACTTTTTTAGGGTTATTATTTACACCTGTGTTTGGCAACTCAAGATGTATCCCGCATTTGACGAGGCCTACTTTCTCTCGTTGCCCGTAATGATGGAAGTCGTTACAGGCTAATTTGGTGCAGGTGTGCCACGTTGACCTGTTGTTCCAACTCTTGCTTCTCTGTCTGCCTCTCAATTCCCACCCTGCCCACTGATTTATGTTTCATTTAGATACTCCTGCAGTGTGTAAACTGGTCTTAAGCACTGTAGAAATAGGCTCCCTTCCCGGAGTGGTACAAGAGAAAATACCAAAATCGTAACAAATCAAACAAACAAAGCTGCCATATTAAATTCTACCATCTCTTCCTCCTCAGGTGCAGTATGTGTTGGAGTCCGACAGCTTTGACTCGGTCCAGGAGCTTGTGCGGTTTTACATTGGCCAGCGCAAGCCGGTCTCCCAGTCCAGCGGTGTCCACATCTACTGTCCGGTGAGCAGGACGCTCCCTCTGCGCTACCTGGAGGCCACCTTCGCTCTGGCCTGCAGCAAGCAAAGCTCCGCCTACTCACCATCCAGTCAGAGGGGAGCGTACATCAAGAGACGGAGCGTCACCATGACTGATGGGCTGACGACGGAGAAGATGATACCTCACAGGTGAGCCGCGGGTGGTTGCGTTTTTTTTAGTGGCAGAGATGCAACAACTAAGCAGGCAATTATAAAACCCTGGCAGTTCTTTTTTGCAGTCTTCATGATATTTCATTCTTGCTTTATGTTACATACATGATCAGTGACTCAGACAGTCCCAGTCCAGTTAAGACACCAGTGGCACCACCAGAACCAGAGCCGGAACCTGTGCCCAGCTGCAGGTTGTCTGAGTGTGTATGTGTTGACACTAGTGTTGTGTTTGAGCACCAAACTAGTGCACTTCCCTCACACGTTCCTCAATTCCCCTCACTTCCCAAACACCGTTAGCACCTCCCCTAGTGACGAGCATCAAGTCCTCTTCGTGTCCCCAGAGTGAAGTTGCAAAATGACTTGTTCACTTGGCCACTTCTGCACTAGGATCGTTCAAGTCTCAAACAGAACAAGGCTTTTTGAAACTTGAATCTACAAAGGAGCAGAGAAATATGTTTGTACAGTGTGTGCACAGTAGAAGTACACGTTAGCCTCATTGGGAGTAGGGAAAGGAGTTGAGCAAGCTTTTAAAGAATGGAACAAAACCAATGCTAATGACTCACTGGGCTCCAGAAGGCAAAGATGTGTGTACAAATATTTGTGCATGATTGTTGAAAATATTTTCCAGAGTTAATGCACTCAAAAAAGTGATAATGCACCTTAACCTTACATTAGTTAAATATTCAAATTTTGCAGTTAATCTCTTCTAAAGAAGCCACACTGCTGCATTCTCTGCTCCTGCTTTAAGGTCCTAAAATGATTTTAATTCCTGAATAACACATGAGTGTGTCATGAAGTAGAATAATGCACCAGCTAAAGTGTCTCCCACTTCTCTCACCCTAAATCTGTATCGACACCATTCCTCTCATCTGGAACTGATAATTGTGACCCCCCTGATCTGCACTGCTGTGTGAGGTTCCCTTTAGTGCCGTGACGGATGTTAAATCCATACCCAAAGATTTTAAAACTTCTAAAAATGCTGTGTTTGCAGCCCGTCGACAATCCACCACCATAAAGACGCGATGCGGAACTGTGCGATGAGCATGGACCAGATTCAGGAGTATCGCTGCACCTTGTCACCTGTTGGGGAAACCCCACTGTCTCCTGCATATAGTGCTAGTAAGTGCCAGAGACACACAGATACATAAATAAAAGCTCTCTCACTCACATTCACAAACAAAGTCTCCATGAGAGGTAGTGAGACTCTTCTCTCTTTCTTCAGTCACCAGGCAGAGAGCCCACTCAAGTGGGAGGGCCCTGGCTGTCGTCCCGCCCTCCCCCCAGATGCGTCGTTCCAGCGACCCTCAGCTCAGCCCTTCAGCCAGTAGCAACCCTCCAGAGCATCCCGTGCATACCTCTCACTTGGCGCACTGCACGCCCGCCCATCATCCCGGCTACCAATCGCATTCCTCAGAAACGGCAGGGAGCTACTGTGACCTCAAACCTTGCCCCGCTGGGCCCCCTAAACCCCCGAATAAGAGCTACGTGGAGCGATTGCGAGTGGAAGAAGGGAGGGAGGACGGAGCGAGGGTGGAAGGAGAGGAGGGGATGTTCAGCGCCCCACAGGTGGAGACAGCGTCCTCGTTCAGGCCATCCAGGTACACGTACAAACACACACAGCATTAGGCTTCCAAACTCGCACCTTAGGGTGTTTCCAAAGAATACCCAACCTCTCTCTTAATTTGATTTGAAGTACTTTATCAAAGGGATTTACAACACAAAGGCAGGAGTTAAGTGAGGGAGTGAGTGAGTCTTGGCACTATTTCTCACTTTGACAATAGATGGGAAGTAGAATACAAAGAAATTGGCTGATAGGGTGTTCAAACTGTCCAAAACATACTTTCAAATACATTGTGGGTGGCTCAATAAGCTCAATATGCAAAACGGTACATTTATAATGTTGCTAAAAAAGGACACAACAGCTTACTATTTTATATGCACTATACTTTACTATAACGGTGGGAGTCACTTCTGCATGAATCGTTCTTGTTTTATTCTTCTCTTTGAGAGAAAAGTGACACTGATGGAGAACATTTGAATTACAGTGATCAAGTTTCGTTGTCAAGTTGCTAAGGCTAAACGTACACACAGTTAGAGCTCATCACTACAGCAGGATTCATTTAAGTTGGTTTGTTCAAGGGTTAGCGTACCTGCTGACATTTTGTCATTGAGGGCAAAAATAGTGGAGTACAGCTATGAGTGAGCAGAGACTGGGAAAAAAATACTTGAGTGAACAGCAAATAGTCCTGTGGGAAATAGCCTGAGGTCAGACTTTGTGCTGTGGTCAGAGACACTGTGTTTTATTGGGCTTACGGTGCCAAGGGAGGACACGGTAGATGAGGCTCGTCACAGGAAAATGGTCGGGTACACTGAGTCGGCGGCAGCGATGGAGCAGGCAGCAGCTTTGGACACATAAGGGTCCCCTGTGAAATGTTGGCGCATGGGGATTATTGTCAGCGTTGTTGACACTAGTGGGGAAATTGGTAGTAAAGGCAATTTATGATTGAGGCACCAGTGTGTGCCTGTGACCGGCACAATGTCACTACTGTTTGATGTAGTGTTCAGTGTCGTTTGGTTTAAAATATATACTGTGTATTTGGTTTGGCTTGCTGATGTATTAGTCCAGTTTGTTGATGTCTAGAGGCCTTACATATCCATGGCAGAGGGTTGGATGGCTACTATTTGTTAGTAACTTGGTTCTTATTGCTACATGATCAACTTAAAGTCATAACTCTTCTTTGAACCAGACCACTGGATGAGCCTGCCAGGTTTAAAAAAAACATTATGTTGATCTTAACAACACTCTTGTCTTGCAGATACGAGTCTTGCCTTATGCCAGCTGAGAATAAGCCTCTGGAGATGTCGGTGCTGAAGAAAGTCAAAGAGCTGCTGGCTGAGGTGGATGCAAGGACCGCGGCTAAACACATCACCATGGCGGACTGCACGGTATGCACAAACACGCATGCATATAAATGTATGCAGTTCACATGCACGCACACAGGCTTACACATGCATACAAAAGCCCGCATTCACACATGCTGACTTTCATACTCGCATACAGCCAATGCACAAACAGCAAATGTCTTTCTTTTTTTTAAACTCTTGGACAGGTGGCGAGAATATTAGGTGTAACCTCAGAGATGCAAAGGATGATGGGAGTGTCCTCGGGGTTGGAGTTACTGACACTACCGCATGGACACCAGCTAAGACTTGACCTACTGGAGAGGTACAAACACGCTTTGCTTTCCCACTGTCTTCCTTTATACATCACTCACTAACTCCTTCATTAATTCCTCTATTGATTAGCTGTACTCTTCTGTTCTTACCCTCCATCTCCTCTCTTCTCTTTCCTCTTCTCGTCTTGTAACATACTACTGTCTGCCACAATGTGAATTTCCAGAGTGGCTTTCAAAATGACTCGACACCCGTTGCTTCCCTATCAGCAGCAGTAATTAACTTTTATTAACTCATTTTATTCAATAGCACGCTCTTCTTTTTCTCAGGTTCTACACCATGTCTATCATGATGGCAGTGGACCTGCTGGGCTGCACGGGAAGCACAGAGGAGAGGGCGGCACTGCTCCACAAGACCATCCAATTGGCAGCAGAGTTGAAAAGCAACCTGGGCAACATGTTTGGCTTTGCTGCAGTGATGAGAGCCCTTGAGCTGCCACAGGTAAGAGATATAAAGACAGATAAAAGTCACCATCGTTCACCTTCAAAGGTTTGCATTAAAACATTTTCTTGTTGTGTCATTCGTGGCCACAGATTTCCCGCCTGGAGCAGACGTGGGTGACTTTACGCCAGAGACACACAGAGGGCGCTATTCTATATGAGAAGAAGCTAAAACCTTTCATGAAGAATATGAACGATGGCAAAGGTGAGACCCTAGTTTAAATGGTTGGTATGCGTTTGCTTTTTTCATTGTGCAAAAGTGTGTATTTATTTACAACTCTCAACTGAAAACTCTCCTGTGATCACAGAGTCAAATGCCGTCGCCAACACTTCCTTCCCCCACATCATCCCCGTCCTGTCCTTACTGGAGCGGGGCATGGCGGTCGGGGAGGCCCTGGAGCCCTGGGAGAGTGCAGAGGTGGGAGTAGATGTGGTCATGTACCACTTAGAGGCAGCGCGTACCATCGCACATCACGGGGCGATCTACAGAACCAACACTGAGACCAAAATGCAGGGTAAGGCCAAGGGCAGTCTCTGGAAGTGTGACCTGAGACAGCATCTGCGTTGTTTTAGCCATGTATGGCAATGTCGGTCTGTTGGTCGGTGGCATGTTGGCTCCCAGGCGATGAATCCTAATTATTTTAGTGATACAATGTAGACATTATACCTGCTAGCAACAGCATGTTAGCATTGTCATTGTGACCATGTTGGCATGCTGATGTTAGTATTTAACTCAAAGTGCTCAAGTGCTTAAGTTCAGCGTCAAAGAAGTGCCAGCATGGCTTTATTAAAAGTATATTTTCTCTTCAGCCCTTTACTCCTAATACTCTTTGGTTTACGCTCATTAATAGTCAACATTATTTCATCCACACAGACCTCAAGAAATGATGAAAAGAAACCATTTTCTCCGGCATTGTGTTACATCTCATGTTGTTGACGCATTGCTGTTAATGAGTGTGTTCAGTTTCACTGATTTGATGTAATGATTATGTGTGGTTACTATGTTAACTGTATTGACCCCTAACACCTCCCCAATGATGCTCAGTTTGAGGCCATTACTGCATTATTGAACAGTGTGTCAATAGATATCTGCTCACATCTCAGCTTCCTGTTATATCTCGCTATCGATCAGCCTGACCTCAGTCTGCTCCCCTCATCAATATTTCTATGAGCCGAAGTTAAGACGCTTACGTCATACAGTTGTCAAAACGGGTTCAGCTCAAGATGTTTTTGTTTCCGAAGCTATTTTTAGTTCATCTAAAGGGTAATTCATTAATTTAATTGAGCATGTCGGCATGGATATTCATTGTTTACCCTGGGAGCCGTATGTGTGACAGAATAATGTTTCGGCCTCATCTCATCAACAAGTGGAACTGGCTCCAGATGTCATCCCTTGATCTGGAGTGGGCACGAGATAATAAGTGGTCATATATATGGGAAACAATTGCTGATAAAGGTCACGTGATGTGGTTGAAAAAGTAGTTAGTGAACCTTAAAGTTGAGATTATTTTGTCACACAGAATGATGATGGATTTAGATTTTCAGCACAATTTTGTTCATTGCTATCTACATCGAAATAGTTTTTCTTTCAATTAATTTACTTACATTCCAAGATGCATTTGGAATTTTTCTTATTTTCAGTTACAATTTTTTTGTTCGTTTTTGTTACAGTATTCTTGATATGCTTATATTCTGTCACATTTTGAGTGCTTTTAATAACAATGTCAGAATATTTTTTCCCAGATGTATTTTTATCTATTATAAATGGAAGAACAGATACTAAAGTAGTGGTCGAAAAAATCTGCTGCATAATCTTGATTTTTCATCAACTTTTTTAGTTGTCTGTTGATGATTATTACAAACAAAATGTCATCCACAAATAGTAACTCATAAACTCCTCTCCTCTCCAGGATTCCAGGAGCGAGCGGAAATACACGAGATCTTCCAGACAGAGTTTCAGATGCGTCTCCTGTGGGGCAGCCGTGGCTCTGAGGGCAGCCAATCGGAGCGCTACGAGAAGTTCGACAAGGTTCTCACCGCTCTCTCGCACAAGCTAGAGCCTCCTGTGCGCCAAAGCGAGCTATAGCACCTGCCCCACCAACCGACATCTCCAAAACACCCCCCATCTGCACACACCACTCATTGTGCTATGGTCTAGTTTTGCATCGTAAAGGATGATGTGGAAGAGCCCAGCGAGAACACTGAGGGGGTGAATGAAGAAGAAGCGGCAGCTAACAGAGCATGTGCAGTGAGCAAAACAGAAAAGAGGGCCTCACTTATAACACGTGTTGCACTCAATGTTCACTTCTCTTTCTGTGCCTCCCTGTGGACTTCCTCAAGCTGAAGAAGATGGGGGAGGAGGGTGACCCGCTCCTCTGCATGGTACAAACAGTGACATGTGTACGGTGCCTCCCGAGGGCCAGACAGAGCTGCAGAGTTTGGCTTTGCTCCAATAAAACACTCTTGTTTCAAACAACTGCTGTCACACACTGTAGCAGGAATGCTAACAATAACTTGCATAGCTCATATAAAGATGTGTTGTCTCTGTGAGTGAGAGTGTGTCTGTGCGCCTGCGTATGTTTGTTTACATTCCTTCATTTTTGTATGTCATTACTGTTTCATGTATTTAAGTCTTATTTATTTGTTACGATCAAAGGATATTTGAACATCATGGACGTTGCTTCACCAAATTCATGAGAATCTGCCAGAGCTTATTCTGAGGGAACCATATTCATAAAACCTTATTAATTATGTATCAAGATGTCCCATTGAATCCCATTAAAAATGTATCGGGCATGCATTAATAAATGTGTCAGAAATGAAACATTTGCAGAAGTAATGCAGCAACTTCAATATGAGGGCTTTGCGAGTTGTTAATGTTAAGAGGACAGAGCAACTTCCCTCTGTTGTAGCTGTTTGACTAATACATTTGATATTGTGTTTCTTGTACACATTTAGCTCAAAGCGGCACTAAGACAGAGGAAAAATGGGATGTATACTCATTTAGTTCAAGCAATGTTTCACTTATTAAAACATATGTTTCTGTTTAAGTTGCAGAAATAATTGAAATGGTTGATGCATGCAGCCACAAATGTTATACAAAGTAGAATGTTGCTCTAAACTACTAATTCAAATATAACAATGTGTCAAACTTGTGAAATATGCAGATGATAATAACCGTGACGATCTTTCAGGTTTGTAAAATATCCAAATTGATACCAAACTGACTTTTTCCAGTTTGAAAACCAATGAAGGATAAAAGAGGTTCCCAAACTGAGGCAAATAAGGACACATGGACCACAGCCCTGCTGCAGGGAATGTCTTTTGGTTGTACATTTTGAGTTTGTGTTTCAGCAATAGAGCTAATCCTTTTATTGCTATGGGATGTTGTTGTGGATGACTGTTGAGTGTTAAATCATTCCTGTATTATCAGCATGTGGGCCTGAGAGGGCTGGAGCCGACATCTCAGAGCTATTCAATCATTTCATCCAAGGGCTGAGACCCCTGAGGTACAGACACCCATTCACAAAATTCACCTTTTTTGCCCCCCACATCAACTTAAAACATATATCATTTGCTCTCTCTGATGATATGAACCAAAGTCATATCAGATATCAATCAATCAGAAATACTATTACTAAAAAATACCCTTCTGCCCGATAGTTGCATATCAGAGATTCTTTGCTGGGTGTTTGATTGTCCTGCTTTCTAGTCTGAGCCTGTATCAGATCTTGAGGTGAGGAGCCATGTGCCAGTTCCCACTGTGGTCCAACAGGGGGCGTTCTTTAGTTATCAAAACACTGAATCATTAATTGTAATACAATATAACAGGACGGCCTATATACAAAATAACACATGTATTGTGTGTTTTGAGACCAATGTTTGATACCAATAATATTAGATATGAAATCTACAGGTTTGGGTTTGATATCTGATAACGCAGATGATGAAAAGGTGATGATAGATGCGATATGTTTTTATTTGTCCTCTGTTGAATGCTGTACAGGAATGCTCTGACCACGTGTGGATACTCCTGTTTTTTTTATAACAGGATTGCGTGAGATGAACATGAAAAGCAAAAAGACGAGAAATGTTTCAGGACTGATCTCACGATTTTTTTTTTTTACGAACTGTATAAAGCAATTCACTGTTTTTCAAATAAAATAATTGCTTGTGTGAAAGAGTTTAGTTTTATTCAGAAAAAAATCCCTAAATCAAATCGTTTTACTGGTATTGTTTTGTCTGGTTATCCTATATATTTCTCATAATCATCAAATCCCATGAAAAGACCTAAACCAACAATGAAATGATGCCTTTAAAGTCTGATACAGCTTATTTCTCTGTGACTTAGACCTCAATTATTGTCCAAAAACTATAAGAAACGCATCAATGAGCTACACTGTTGCACCTGATGGCATGAACATATTTACGTATGAAAGCCCAGGGAAGTTGGAATGTATTGAGGGACTGACAAAAAACATTTGATTTGGTCTTTTTATGAGATTTGTTGACAATAATTATTAGAAAACTAAAATAATAAGAAAAAATAAGAAATATAGAGATAATATTTAAACTATAAAAACACAAAGGGTTTCTCTCTATATATATTATTGTTGTGGTAGAAAAGACACCACCACTGAATTCCAATTAAGATACTTAGCAACAACTAGGTTAGAATTGATGGTATAAAAGGTTTTGGCTTTGCTTGCAATACACATAAGTAACCAATAGGAGGCCCCATATCACTATCAAACCCAAGCTGACCCTTCTCTTACACACAGTTATCCCTAGTTATGAACATCCTGGTTCCTGGTCCAGTTCAGGTGGCTGGGTCCTCCTCAGGTAGACGACAACATCTTTGTTAGTCCACTAGTTTCTTGGATCCTGCACCCTCCTGGGCACTTTAACTCCTCTGTTAATGTTCAAACGCATTTAAATCTGCAATGTATCTCATGTTTAACTGAAAATGCACCGCATGAAGCGAGCATGTGTGATGTGCAAAGCATCACACATTGTTTTGCAGACAGACCCATGGTGGTGGCAGTGGGAGGGAGACAAAGACGGATGGACTGTGCGAGTGTGTGTGTGTGTGTGTGTGTGTATCCATGCACGTGTGAGCGTGTGTCTGTATGTGTGCACACATTTGTTTTTGTCTCAACGTGTGCTTTTTGTAAACGTGTGTGTGTGTGTGTGTGCCACAACACAGATGTTGCAGGAAAACTGCTGCTGCTCTTGCTGCTTACTCCCTCCATGAAGGAGGCAGTAGTGCGGCCTGGCAGCTGCTATACGGGGGGGGGGGGGGGGGGGGGGGGGGGGG